CTTCAAAATAAGTATATTTAAAACTAGATTTCTTAGTGGTTTTGAAAATATTACTATAAATTACAGCAACTCATCCCCCTTTGCATTTCAGACGAGGTTCATGTTTATAACAGTAATCTTGTGGGGTTGATTCATTTAAAGTAATGTAATCGTTTGGTTTTAGCCAGGTTTCTGTCAAACACAGCACATCTAGATTATAATCTGAAATCATATCATTAACTATGAGAGATTTTGAAGTAAGGGATCGAATATTCAGCAACCCAAGCTTTATCATTTGCTCATCGGTATTATATCTGTTTTTTATTTTTTATCAATTACATTTTTAACCTTTTGGACGTTTTGGGGGTTTCCAAATTCGGGGAACAGACACAGTCTCTATATGATGATATCTAGGTGAAAGAGGCTCTATGTGATGGGATTTATCTGACCTTGGTGACGCAAGGCCGATAGCAGACGGCCGGTTTAGCCAGTCTGTCTGCTTCCTGACCTGAGCCCCAGATTGTCATGTTTTATCTCTAAGACTATGAGCCAAATTACTAGAGAGAAGAGCAGCACCATCCCAGGAGGGATGAAAACCATCTCTGTTCAACAGGTCAGGCTTGCCCCAAAAACTTTTCCAATTTTCTATGAATTCTACATTATTATGCGGACACCATGATTTGAGGACTGCGCATGCACAGCGGCGTCACCAGGTTTTTGCGTAGTTTGGAGTGACAAACAAGGGGGTAATTCATCCAATCCAAACTGAAGCCTCCATTGTAGCAGAACTTCACCTGCTGTTAGCATTCCATTGACTCCCATTCATTTTGGCGTCACTTTGACAGCCAATAACTTTACATCTGAGGCGTCCAAAGACTCCATTTGTCCATTATTTATTACTAAAGAAACACGACAATGTATAAAAGGCTCCATTACCTTGTATCTTAAGTAATGGCCCCTTAGAAGCAGTTTTTGTAAAAATAGGCTAACGATTGTGTAATAACCACTCGACTCTCCGTCGCACAGTAGAGAAATTACCGTATAGACAGGAGGAGAAGCTCGCAGGCAATCGGGGGGACGTGGAGGCATAAAGTCAAGGGAGAAGCCCATAGAGAGTCATAAAGTTGATCCTGCTGCTAGTGCATGGACAGCTCCTACTCAGACTCTCCGTCGGAAGTGAATTATTCAGATTTCTCTCGGCACAGCTACTAGAAGACAGACAGGTTGCTCACGTGACATCTACGTCGTCAAGCTCAGTTTGAGCATCAGGAAATGAGTGCTTCTAATTGGCTTCACTTTTCTCCGTTGAAATCTATGGGGTCGCTGTGTCCATTTCTTTTACTGTATATGGTGACAAATCGTACCAGCGTACTTTGAGGTCAAAATGCGTGCCCACTACGCAAAATGCGTACAGGTTGGCAGGTCTGTAGCTACAGCTGGATCCAACCATTAGCCTAACAATAGTCAACTCACTAGACCACAATACGCTTATCAAATGAAAAATATCTACTATCTTATTCTTATCTAATCAAAGATCACACCAATGGGGTGAAGTAAGCAGTGTAGGCTCTACTGCCTACTGCTGGTCTGGACAGAAAAAAGCTAACAATATTATTTTTCATTATTCAGTAATGACTTGACCAAAACAAAATTCAAGTGGATATACATATTTGAATAAAGGTGTTCCATTCCAATGTTAACCTGATTCAATTGGATCTGTGTTTCATATGAATTGTAAAGTATACTGTGCCTTATAAAATGTATCATTATTAAAGGGACACGAAGTAAGAAATACTCCCAACTAGCGGTGAAATTGTATTTTGCATTCAAACGAATTGTGCTCTCCAGCGCCTCGCGTTTTCAAATGCGTGTTGCATCTACGGTAGCCGTTATGTACCAAAAAGCTATGACAGGATGTCTTCTAATAACACTTCGTCGAGTGTTCCTTCGGGTGAACAGGTTTGTTATTTCAAACAAACTTCAAATTGACACAACGAACAAACGAACAGTATGAAGTAATGAGTGTCAAAAACATGAACTATTGTAATTAGTAGTTATGCCTTCTTTATTCGTTATATTTTCTGAAGTAGCCTACGTGCATTGTTAGATATCATCATCAACTTTTAACTATACATGTTCATCTGTCTATAAAATAAAGTACACAACCAAACAATGAAAAAAAGCTTGTAATTAAGACTGTAGCCTTGTCGAGAAGAAAGCAGGACTTCAGCGTCTCTTTTGAAATCTTTCTCCTGCATTAGCTCTATCCACCTGGAAAAAGCTATCCCGACATTAACTTTAATGCCTTTTATGCCTTTTAAACTTGCCGAGGCAGTGACAAGCGCCTCTCACTACTCTGCTCCTCCGCTTCTGGTGCTTTCAGTTACGTCACGCCGGCTCTGAACGAAAACGTGTTGTGGAAACGCATTGGCGTACTTTTTGTCCCTCTCTGCGATTATAGTTTTTCAAGATGGCGGAACTACATGGAAGCCTCCGTGACTTACCCGTCCCATGTATATACATATAATAAAGTCTTCGTTTGCGAGGATAAATAAGATAATTGGCAGAGGTATTTGTACAATATTGGGGACATATTTATGAATAAAAATATTGATTTTAGATTATAAATTACCTAAAAAGTTACTTATAGTCCCTTTAAATGTATCATAAATATAGATCAGCACCTACCTAATGTAACTTACTTTGCAGTAACAATGAATTTGTCAACATTCTTCTCACCACTGATAATGTGATTTGGACTTGAGACTATTTTGTCAGTGTTTCGTTTTCTTTCATTTTGTACACCTCATACATTGAGTAACAGAACACTCTGATTTGTCATGCTATATTTACATATTTGGTATTTCTGGATTCAGCACAAGCCCACCTTTCCAACAAGCCGTCATATGTGTTTCTATGATAATCCCTGGCAAAGCAACCACAAAGTAAATGAAAACATTCTGCATAGATATTAAATTTGTGCATGTCCGCTTATTTTAGGTATGTGTTTATATGTGTCTATTTATTCCATACATCAAGATATTCACATCCAGTCTTTTCTAGTAGTTAATGAAACTTCCTGACTACATACATGTCAAATTTCAAAGCTCTCAGAGCTTGTGTGATTGATCTGCACAAGTTTATATGCCTTAACTCCCATACGGACAGGCTATATTTTAGTCCTTTTTTGGTTTGGGGGTTTATAACAATATCTGTTAATTTAACAATCTTAGCAGTAAAATATTTTGAGCCAAGAATCCATTTCATATATGGGAGACCTTAGAGATGAGGAAAAACATTGTTGGATTTAGTTCTACCTCCGGTAGGGGTATCTCAAAAATTCGGGGGCATTGTCACTAGCCTATATAGAGAAACCGGGCGTAAAGAGTAACTGAGGGCATATAAATATTTAGATGCCTATAACTATGTGCTGAATGGTCATGTAAAGACTTGTGTGGTACGATCCGCAGTTCTACCTAGCCAGCGCCAAGAAGACAACAATGTAAAGAGTGACATTACGGTGCGATTTTAATTATGTGAATATTTTCTAGAAAAAAAAAAATTCCAGATACAGCATATTCATTTTTCATCGATTCTTGCACCAAACAACACAACAAGATTACATTTAATAATAATAACAATAATTTAAGCTCATTATTATTTAGCCGAATCTGTGCTGGTTTGTATTGGCCGCCTCGCCTCCAGTTTTCACTTTGTTTTGCCTCCAGCTAGCGCCGTGACATAACTGTGACGTCGGCGCAAAAGGGGTCTATATAAATAAACTTGCCTTGCCTATTAATTTACCGTTTGGCACTTTATTTCAACTTTTCAAATATGTTCTTCCAGTATATGTAAAATAAACATTTCTCCAAACTGATATGCATGCAATGTAAATAGGAAAAGAATGGGATTGGGAAAAGGCAGACTTGAACTCTGCTCAGTCGTGTCAATAGTAATATCAATTGTTCTTACTCTCACACTACTAGTTATCAGCTCTGTGTCTTTGATCAATTTATCTAGTCCAACCAGACAATGGTGTTCAAAAAGCCTTTGTCAACCACTCTGTTTTAATTATGTAAAATTTGTTCCAAGTCATTCTTAGAAAAAACAAGACAGTTCTGTTGTATAATATCCACATTTCAATTTGTTTTTCTGTAATAGTTTTGATTACTCATATGTTTTTTTATCATACTGAATGAGTAAATGTGTGAATTCAAAGCAAAGAGATGTTTTATATCAAATGTAGTTTATTGCACAACAACAATAACGTTTTCAAAACATCAACAAGCAAATGTTCTCAATAAAAGACTTAAAGGGATAGTTCTCTCTATATAAGATAATTCAAAATGCCTTCATTTCAGAACATCCTGCAGCATCATCAAATATAGACGACATTCGCACAAATTTTAGAGTAAGTTTTGGTGCCGTTATTCAGCCATATTGCTATTCCCAAATGACAGACAGCCTCACTGACTTACAGCCAAAACATTATGCTAAAAGCACACAATTTGCAGTGTAGGATAAATGTGGTTAAGGATATATATATATATACAGTATATATAATATTCATCATCTTGCTCGTAGTGACAGTATAAGTGCTTGAAAATAAAGCTTAATGTCTTTAAATTCATTTAAACTCAGCGTCATTTCTCTGAATAAGCTGTGAAGCATGTATATATTATTTCCTGATGTCTTTTTGTTGACAAACATCAACTTCAGAACTTCAGACTCTTGGAGATCTGGGAAACAGGTCAGCTCAAATTATTCAGCTTTTTACTAGCATGACATTTTGCATATTAATTGTTATTTATACTGTATACAGGTGAAACTCGAAAAATTTGAATATCGTACAAAAGTTATAATTTTGATGATTATGATTACAGCTTATGAAAACCCCAAATTCAAAATCTCAGAAAATTTGAATATTACATGAAATCAAAAAAAAAATATATATATATATATATATATATATATATATATATATATATATATATATATATATTAGTTTCACCTTTTATTTTGAATCACTGAAATACATGAACTTTTGCACGATATTCTATGGCTTCAATTTTTATGACGTCATTCCAGTCATTTATATAAATCAGTCCTCCAGGAACAAGGCTGAGAAACACTGCTTTAGATGATAATCAATTATTACAGAAGTTTTGTACAGTTAAACTTGCATCAAAAAAAAGTGTGTGATGTTCTTATGGCAGTATGAGTTGTGAAATACTCTTCTCACAGATCCATTTAAAAGGTTTAGTACATGCATCATCAAGCCACCCTACTAAATTAGGCCACTCTGGCAATTTAGGTACAGCCACAGTCAGGACACAGTTCTCTCTTGTACCTCCATTAGGCTCTCCAGACCCCCAGAAGCTGAAAATACAGATCAGCATTAGATGTTCAGTGCTGCTTTCTGTGTGATATGATACTGACTGTGAGAATCATTTATTAGATATTAATCAGTTCAGTGTTTTCTCACCCAGAGGTCAGTGTGCTTCCATCAACCCATTTCCATGTGTTCTCCACAACACTGTCAGTCAGACCAATCCAGACTATAGCTTTACCAGTCATGTTCTTAACAAAATCCTGAGCAGATGAAACAGTTGAACATTTATATCATAAACAGACAACAGACTCAATTTCATCTGACCATCTCTCATTTATCTACTAAACATCATAAAAGCAACTCTTACTTGTTCTTCTCTGTTGTTTATGATGATCAGATCTGCTCCTCTCTCTGTACAGTATCTTCTGCTCTCATTCCAGCTCTTCGTCTCATTCGGCATGTAGTAAAAACTGGATTTATAGTAAGTCCATCCATCTGTAAACAACCAGTTTAGCTGTTAGCTCTTTATTCCCTTTTACACTCACCTGTCCGTAACTTATAAAAGATAGTAAACTGATAGATTGTGTTCAGTGAAAGTTACTGAGAGCACAACCCAACTCCATAATGTTTTTAAAATGTCTGCTATATAGAAAATAACTTCATAGATTAAAGAAACTTTACCAGAACTCTGAAGATTATTTCTTAGCTGGTCTCTCTCATTGGTCAGGTTTTCATTCTTGGATATTAGCTGGTTTCTCTCATTGGTCAGGTTTTCATTATTGGATATTAGCTGGTCTCTCTCATTGGTCATGTTTTCATTCTTGGATATGAACTGTTGTCTCTCTTGAGTGAACGTGACACACAGCACTATGACTGCAGTCAGCAGAAGAACACACAGCAACACCAAACACACTGCAGCAACTCTGGAGCTTCTGTTCCTCACAGAATCACTTCCTGAAAATAACAGACATTATGCGAGTCTATTTTCTTCTTCATTTAAAACCATTTACATCATAAATATGAGTAAATGTATTATCAGTTAATCGCAGTTACCTGTGTGTTGCGGTGTTTGGGTTTTCGCTGTTTGGGTGTCGAAGTCCTCCGTGTCTTTCTTATGTTTAATGTCTCTTACAGCCTCAGCAGTGATGTAGATATCAACTGTCTTATCTATTCTATCTTCTGATTCCATCATTGAACCTTGATCCATTCCATCATTCCCAAGCCCAGACATTCTTAGTGCAGTTTGGATGGCTACAACTTTTTACCTATGAACCCACTGCCAGAACTACAAGTCAAACCTAACTGATTAATATCTCACCAGAAGTGATTTTTTTGTACTCCTGATGTCTGTCTGTGTGTCTGTGGTAATATTTCATGTATTTATGTAAAAAGGAACTTGCAGCACTTAGGAAGTGTCACGACACGCACACAGAAAGGGTGATAGTCCAAGTGCAGTTTTATTGGGTAATCCGTAATCATAAATCCAGGAAAATGCAAGAGGTCAAGGTCCATGTAAGCAGTCCAAAAACAAGAAATAAACACTAAACCAAATCAAGACAGACTCTGGGAAGCGGGTGACATCAAACAAGGATTCCAGAACAAGTGATTAAACAGACAGGGTATAAATAGACAGACACTAACAAGGTGAGTGGGAACAGCTGAGTGTGATAATGAATAATGAGTCCGACAAGGGTGATGGGGATTGTAGTCCAATAGTGACTGACACCTGTGGGGGAAGAGGAGCTCTAGTGGCTACCCAGGGGACATCACCCAGACACTGTTACAGGAAGTTAACACAAATGTCACAATTTTCTGCAATGGGATTGGTTAACTTTTACAAAACATTTGTGTTTAACTAAAACATTTTTAGTGTGGCTGTGCAGCACCTTTTATTAACAAATGCATTATATATATATATATATATATATATACTTTCTCTCGGGCTGTCTATCAGTATCAGGGGAAAATACTTTACTTTACAAAATACTAGAACTTCTCATTCCATTGTCAGATGATCAAGCACATACGACAGATGAACTCAAATGATAATTTTGGGGAAGCAAATACTTTTAATTTCTCTTTTATTCAATTGCTCAATGGCATGTGACTCATGGGTTCATTTAAATCAAACAGATATTGAACGCACACAGTGTCAGACATTCTTCTATATTAGAGAATGGCTGTAACTACCGGCTGTCAAGATGCTTCATCATGGTCGCTTTGTTCTGCGACTTCAGAAAAGCTAAACTCAGCAGGCAAGCCGGCTAAAACTATTATGTTGCTAAACTGTCTGACAACTTTTCCCTCCTCTCTGTCGTTTACTTTCTCTTCGTCTCTCAGAGCAATTTCTCCCACCTGAGGTTTTAATTGTCGGAGCAACTGAAGCGACGTGACAGAAGTCATTTTGTGGTCCATTATGTTTGTATGCAAAAGACAGCCCCAAAATTAGCATGTCACTGAAAAGCATTGTTCTGCACTTCCCAGTCATTAAAGGTAATCTTCCTGAAAAATGTGCTCTTTGCTTCAGTCATCACCTGGGTTATATGTCTCTTAAGGAGCTATATTGTGAAAAATCCTATTATTAATCAATTTTAAAGTAAAACATCTGAATGTCTTTAAAACAATATCTACATAAATAAGAACTACCGGTAAGTGTTTTTGGTTTGTTTAAAGCTTTGCTTTAAACAGACCAAAACACTCATTGTATTATGCTTTTTTGGGATGTATGTGGAAAAATACAATAGTAATTTTAAAATGAATTTCTTATTTTGACTTTTAAAAAATTTCACCTGACCTAGTCATAACCTGACAGCTAGTATTGAAGCTTTTATTTTTATAGTAATGTTTATTTTCCGTTTTGTTTCTGAATCGAGTGTATTTCCACGATATAAGAAAATTAGAGGATTGCTTTTATTTATGTTTTATATTTGGGGTTCCTGAGATGGCTATACTGTGTACAAAAAATAATATATCTTTTTGTAACGGACAGCTAAACTGGCTATTTGCAAGTTTTTAAAGGGTCACTTCACCCATTTGCATTAAGGTTTGTATTGTTAGAAACCCAGTCATATATTATAATGATGGTGGAATTTTGCTTGTTTTTTTTCTGAGATGGGAGAAAAAAGGATTTAAGTGTTTTACTTCCGTCCTATCGTGACGTAAATATCGTCATTTTGCGTCACGATAGGACGGAAGATAAATTTCATTGCATATTAAGAAAACTACAGCCTTTAGCTCATTATTATTCAAGGGCGTGGGACCCACTCACCCCACCGGCCTATTACAGATCAGTGGGTGGGACTAAACCTGAAGAAACTAAACTATTAATCCGCCATCTTGCTTGGAAGACAGCAAGCTAAGCTAACAAGCGCTCAAGGAGTTAGATTTACCATAATGCCTGAATTTACGACACACGATATGGAAGACGAGGATTTTGAAAATCTTTTGCTCGAAACCGATGTTCGTGGCTATTTATACGAGCCACAATATAGCGAAGAGCAGCTGAGGCTGATGGAGGAACAAGAGGCGGCGGTGTCGGCTGCGGCAGCGGCCGCCGCAGGAGACCAGCCCGGCGCAGACGAGAAGCCCGGACTGGCTCGAGCTGGGCGGACTGCTGGTGCCTACATGTCGTGCTCTCGCTGTGCGCTACGGACACAGATAGAGTCCGTCTGCTGCAGAGAATTTCAACGATCGCAATATCTCCTGGACGAAATCTCTGAATCAGACGAGCACACGGACGTTTGTGTTGTGATCCATCCAAGTTTCGCACCGCATATGTTCTGACTGAACATCCAGGTAACTTTATCATCATCATGCAATAATTCACCATATAGAAAGAAATACAAACGAGGAGTAATTCACTAATGAGTTTGCCAATGTAACGGGGTTCGTTGTTGTGGGAAGAATGAGGCGGGAACCGGCAAACATTTAAACATTTTAATAGTAAAATAAACAAATACGAAACAAAAATATAAGCGAGCAGCCCCTCACTGCTGGCCACACACAACAGAAACAAAACACAACATAAAATCAGGCCTGTTCCTCTCTCGATCTGCCCTGTCGTCGCTCCTCGTTTTATGCGTCCGCTCCTCGGTGAGAGACGCGAGAGACACCGGTCCGGTGCGTCTCACAGGTGTCGTTCATTATCACTCGCGCCACCGGCCTCGCGCTGTCCTATCACATCCCTCGCCCTCGTCCTGCTCGCCACAGCCAACTAACTAGAAATTTTGTGTGAAATGAATTTCTAACTCTGGTGGCAGCTAACCTTGTAGACGGAAAAGTGATTTCTCTTATGTTTGCGCTGTTCTGGATTAGTGGGAGTGGCTTGCGGAGCTGTGCAATGTGGTGCATTGTGGGAGTTGTTGTCTTGCATACAAATGCGCACTAAAGTTATTTTCTGTCTTTTCTCGGTCAAGAGGGCATCAAATTCAAAATTTCTTTTACATTTCGACTACATAAATGACCCACTTTCAATAAAGATTAATGTTGAAATGGGTGAAGTGACCCTTTAATCGTCAGTGGTATACAGTAGTATAGGCTTCCATTCAAAACATTTGGGGTTAGAAGGATTTTATTTAAAGAAATTATAAATTAACAGACAAATTTAATTGATCAAAAGTGACAGTAAAAACTTTTACATAAACTAAAGATTTCTAAGGTAAAAAGATTTCTATTTTAAATAAATTCTGTTCTTTTAAACTTTTTGTTCATGAAAATATCCTGACAAATAATGCATCTAAATTTTAAGCCACTGTTTTAAACATTGATAAATAAAAATACATGTTTCTTTAGCAGCAAATCAGCATATTTGAATGATTTCTGAAGGATCATGTGACACCGGAGACTGGAGTAATGATGCTGAAAATTCAGCTTTGCCATCACATGAATAAATAAAAAAATTCTGAAAACAAATATTTTAAATGGTAATAATATTTCACAATATTACTGTTTTTCTGTATTTTAGATAAAGTTTGTAGGATGGAGTGAAAAGCTTCAAATAATAATGAGGTTATTTCATGATAATATAAAGGTATAAAATGCAGTTTCCCCTTTTCACTAGTATTGCATAAGATTTCACTTTAATGAACCACAAATTAGAGGAAGTTGATCGTGGCACTGTGAACAATGTACACAACAGGGCTCCAGACTAACTTTTTGCCTTGGTTGCACTGGTGCGCCTAACTTTTTTATTTAGGTGCACCAGCACAAAATGTAGGTGCACTCAAATTTTTCCTTGTCTCGCGTCGCCTTTAACGCCACAATTTCAAGGTCACCTTTTTATCACGTTCCATATATTCATGTATATTATGTAAATGCTTTTAAACAAGAATAAGGTGTAGTTTTTTTTTTATTTGAAGCACAATTATACTGTACATAAAAATATAAATCTTTTTTAAAAAAAAAAAAAGTGCTGTTTTTACATTGTTCAAGTTAGGGCAGGATATTGACACAAATTTCACAATTCGATTCAATATTGATTATATTGGATATCAGGTACAGTACATGGCAAATTTTCTCAAGAAAAACAAATCTCAACTAATGCTGTAAACTGGGAGTCAGTTGTAGCCCACTATGCTTCATTAGCCTACTATAATATTGAAGGTAAAAATTACCTGATTTGTACACAAACACCTAAATTACACTTTTTTTTATAATAATAAAGTTATATGAAATATAAACATTTAAATTAAATGACCAAATTGGTCGCACTCTAGAGCCCTGCACAACAGATCAGTTGTTTACAAATGATAAGGACTCTATTTCTCATACCGTGTTTTTCTAATAGGGAAAAAAATATCTTAAGAGATTTGTGCACTGTTATGTTGTCACATCTTACTATTCGGTACCAAAACGTATTCAATGGAATATGTTGAATCTAAGAGGTGAGGTGTTATATATTCCGAATTATACATTCAGTGTTCTTTCGCGCAGTTTTTCTCTGTCAGTCAATCTCAAACACTGTCTATACAGAGAGGAAATTTAAAATGGCCCCTTGCTTATTTTCCAACAATTTGATTGGCTGCTACCCTGGAGCGTGTATCAGGTCTTTGTCTGGGTTGACAAGAAGTCAGGCATGAAGGATATGACATTGTAATGAGTCACCGTTATCGCGGCCATTAGAAGGCCCGCACGCCGAAGTTTGAGTGACTGGTGTAGGAAGGCAGACGCTAACAGTCCGCATGGATCCATCAAGCTCCTGCCATTGTTCGCCCGCATTAGAGGGGCAGCTTTCTAATGGTAATTGAGTTTGTTTCGTTTGCCGAAAGCAGGAAAAATGCCACCGGCTCCACTGATTAGGGTCCTTGATTAGGCCTCAGCTTTAT